AAGCACTGTGGCCCTGCACAAAGTTAATCAAAATACCATGCTTACTCATAAAACTACACTTCTGAGTTCTGAATGTGCACAGCCCTGAAACCCCAATGCCACATTGCTTCCTCACAAAAATGAATTCAGCCTGTGAAACTCAGGTCCCTGTTCACAATAAGTGATGAATAAGTTGATTTCACAATGGAGCTGCATTTCAGCCTCCCTCTTTGAAAAAGAAATTCAGTTCTTGTCCTCAGTATTCCTCAGAGTTTTAGCAATCCTCCATTATTATGTGTATCTATAATATTCCGTCTTCCTGTTGGTGGGGATCTTCTTCTCCCTTGATAAAGAGAAACCCAGGTGTCGTGTAATTGTGATTTCACAACAGAAACAAAACAAAAACCGTCCAACTCCGTATCACAGCTCACAGTTTTTTATTGTGTTTTAAGCATTTTCTTGAGAAAAACAAGAAAATAACACTGGTCTTCCTCTCTAATTCTTTGGGCTTTTGATTTGCTGGAAGTGGGCCCATTTTGGATTGTCCTCCCTTTCGGACACGTCTTCAAAGAGCTGTTTGTTTGTGGGTTAAGGCCAAAATTACATTTCATGAAATTAGAGGGCAAAGGCTATACATTTAGTTCTGGGTTTTGGTTCCTTGCAGAAGGAACAATCCTGTGTATGTACGCTTGAGCATGTATGTGCCGATTGATTATTCACACATCGAGTGACAATGGTAATTCAGGGTATTGTTTCAGAACTCTCTCCGTGTTTTCCTTCACTGCACAATTTCATCTTTCTTTTCGACCTTGAACAACTGTTGTTTATCTGACCAGTTTGCCACAGCCTATCAGAGTATTGATTTGAAGAGGTCAACAAAGGGCATCTAGACAGATCTGTTAATTGAAAGGCGGGCGCCATCCCGACCGACAGTATTTTTCAACATTTATACGAAACATTCATATTTCTGAATTGCAAATCGATTCATTGACTCAGTGACATTTCACATGGCACCTCTCATTTGTCCACTAAGTCTACTTCTCATCTGATCTGTGTTTCTGATGCAAATTTAGACATTTTCTCGAGCAAAATACATCCACTGGATTTGTTGGGTTTTACTGCACACATGATCCAGATGCGCTTTGTAAGGGTGTTGTACTTGTAAAGGCGTCTATCTGATTTTTAAAGAAAAACAAAACATGTATCCAGCACGGCGCTCTTTATTATTCATTCTCTGCTGCCACTTTGGTGTCATTTGTGGGACTTACGAACACGTTGGAGTCCTGAAATGTTTTAGGCATGTTTTGGAGTGATGACATGATTACACAAACATTTCCACCAGACCTGCAGGCATTTTCCACCCAGCTCTCACGTAACGTCTCTTCAGGTGTATTCCATAGCATTTGCGGCCACTTGGGGAGTGAGCGTGTGTGTGCCGGTGAGCTGATCTGTATGCTGCTTTCTGCCAGCTCCCCGCCATGGTGGATTCAAACAGAGAGATGCAGTGCTCAGCCTCATCTGCTATTCTCGACGTGTTGCAAAGAAAAACACAGCGATTTCCACGGTGGATTTTTTTGTATCAGGCGCCGAGTGTCTTAAGTGCTGCCTCTCGGCGGGAGCTGCCCACCTGCAGCAGATAGTCCAGCTGTGATGTGGCCTCATGCACAGCAGTGGCGTGAAAAGTCAGACCAAACTGCCCGCGCGCTCTCCTCAACTTCTCTAGTGGGCCAGGAGTTTCGTGTAGCCTGCTAATTGGGTTTAAGTCTACTGATTCCAGGTCTTCTGATTTTAGGCCTACTGGCACTCTTTTCCAAAAAAAAGGTTAAACCGTTGGTTAATAATTGTGACAGCAGCAGAAGGAATAAGTGCGCAACAGACAAAAAAAGAGACTGTGGAATAATAAAATCAGGTCACTCCAATCTGAGTTACTGTGAAGCAGTCCTACAGCTGGGTGCAGAATTTTGTAATCATAACATTTGTGTTATATGTCACCCCCTGACAGTGAACCGAACAAAGGGCTTCACCCTTTTTAACATTGTTTATCTACGTGTCTGGTAAATGCAAGGTCTAATTTTTGACTCACTAGCGTAAATGCTGCACAGATCATATTATCACATTAGACCTGTCCAGTCCAAAATCAACACCTATGAAATAGCTCAACTGTTAAAAAAAAACGACCACTGAGAAAATTAGTATTTTTGTGTTTTACACAGCATGCGCTCAGCAAACAAAGACTATTTTGACTAAACACATGTCATCATGCAACTATTTGCCGTCCATCTCACCTTGAAATACGTTTCTCTGCTGAGAGGCAACTCCCAGTAAGGAGCTAAGTTTTCAATATTCCTGATAACAGTGTTAAAACGTTGTTTGTTACCTCACAGTGTGAAATAAAGTGTCAAATATTATTTCATCAACAAAGTCAGGGAGGTTGGCAGACGAATGCCACCTCTTATCAGCAGAGAGACAGCTGGCAGAGCAAAGCTTGAAATAATTTGTCTGATTGTCTGGCAGCTAGGAGAAGGGCTCAGCAACAATAACAACAAGCCATGTGGTCAGTTTTCCATTTCTTTGTTATAATTCCTCGCTGTTACAGAACATGGCATCTTCCTGCCGTGACAGGGTTATGGGGCAGGACGTTTAACAAGAGTACTTTATTCTTGTTCAGTTTGCATGAATATTTTAGCTTAAAACTCTCACAATATACCAGTTTTTACTTTGTAAAACTTGTATAGATATGTAAAGATGGGTCCAGACTGATTAACTTAAAGATTTACGCATTTTCAATATTTGAAACCGCTTGAAAATTTTATTTACAATTTATCGACATTCTTCTTAGTTCTGTGAATTGTTTAAGGGGATTTTTTCATTAAATTGTAAGTAATTTCTCGACGGGCTGACATCTGTAAGGAATGACACTCTCAAAGCTGGTGAACCATTTCCAAGACAGCTTGAAAGTAATATTTTTTCCAGAGTTGCATCAAGTTTAACTCAGTGAGGGAATTTCAACCTGATTTGGGTTGTTGAGTTTACAGGGAAGCAACACTAGCTGCATTGGTTTTTCTGAGGTTCATGTGAGGAAAATCTGGAGCTCACAATCCCTGTGGGTTTCTGTGCAGCGCCAGCACCAACACAAAAGGGAGGCAGAAACAAACACTTATCACTGCTTAAGTACTGCATCCACCTCAAAAAACACAAATGAAATGAGCTGGTTGAACAACGATGTACACTAATTGCATTGGAGTAAACATACCCTAACATGCTTCAGAATTACTCTTGTTCTTCACACACAAACACCTGATTAAGGGGAATTAAGGTAAAAACCTAAAGATTAAAACCTTAAGGTAAAAGCTTTCTGATAAACAAAGACCAGAGCCAAGATATGTTGCTGCCACAATATTCACCCTACTCATAATAAGCATCAGACAATGGATGGATGGACTAGAATGCAAAAGTTGATCAACGTAGCAGATAATATTCCACACTCTGCATTTCATAATGCAAAAAAAAGTGTTCATGCCGAAACCTAACCACAAAACATTACAGGACCTTCGTCCCTGCTTGCAGAAATACCTCTACATAAGGGATCATGAAATTTAGAAAAATACAGCTTCAGACTGCACCCATGTCAGGGTAGAAAGGCTCTCTTGGGGCACAATGCTCAATGCTATAATAGTTTTACCTGTCAAGACTCTCATTGTGACTAGAAAGCAGTGGAGAGTAAAGTCAGACAAATCGAAAGAGCCAAAGAGGCAGATACGTAGGGCACAAGAATTCGTTGACAAGTGCAAGTGTTACTAAAAGACACAAGGATTTAAAAAAAACTCTATGCTTGATAGATTTCTTTAAAGATGTTCTCGGGGGAACATGCCGCTCAAGCACCTGGGTATCCAGACAAGTCACCTATGCTGAGCTTGCACCCTATTTTTGTCTGCCTTGTTGGCTAATTACATCAATTCACATCAAACTGTCTAACTGGCAAAACAAGGAGAGCTCACGGTCAAAGAACTTAATTATTTTCCCTGACATGAAATTGTATAATAGCCCAGGGAAGAAAAAAAAACAGCCATCAGACATGCACAATAAATAGTGGTCAGTATTTTTTGTTGTTTTTTTATTTATTTATTAAATCCCAAAGGAATTGTTTACAACAAAAAAATTTTTTATTTCAACAGTAAAATGAGTAAAAGTAAAATGATCTGACCTTTTTGGATTAATTAGTGAAGCATAATTTGACTGAGTTGAATGGGCTCAGTACCTATCGTTTAACAGTGAGGTCATTGCATTTTTATTTTGATTTGAAGCAGCAAACTGGCTAAAAGAGAATTATCAGTACATTCAGTTTTAGTTGTGTAGTGAATATTTAATTGAAATGGATTATTTTGCATCTGGCCTCAACTTTGTCTCAACTTTGATTGTGTTCTTTCTTTCAGATAAAACTATAGCTGGGTGGGGGATGTTTTACAGAGACTCGCTGGGGTAATACAGTCTCAGTGGTTCAGACTTGGAATGAGGAGCGAGTAATTACATAGCTAATAAAATCCCTATGTTGTATGCAAATTTGGAAAAAAAATTTTAAGCCAGTACATTTTTTATCTTTGATTGTTAGATGAAAAAACTTTGTGGTCATCTATTTCTTTCATATAAAAGGATTTATAAGATTACTAATATATGTCAACTTCAGTTGCTTTGATGCTTTGATCTTGACGGGGATTTATTTGAGTCTTACAGTCGATGTGGACCTCTGTGGTGGGGTTTTTTCTTCCGTTATACACATCGACAATACTCCCTGTCTTGAGCGGGAATGGGCGTCTACTTTTATCTTTTTTTCCTTTTTTTTACCATAACATTAAGACTCCATGAAAAAAATACACAACACTAAAAAACTAGCTGGTAGAAATTGATCGATTCTTTTTGTAATGAATCAAAAACACTGTGTGGATTATAGACCTAAAGCTTCAGGTAGCTATCTAAAAGTTTAAGGCTTTGTCAACACTTAAAGTCCTCTGTCTCATCTCCAGGTATGGAGACATGGTACCAAAGACAATTGCTGGAAAGATCTTCGGCTCCATCTGCTCCCTGAGTGGTGTGCTGGTGATTGCTTTGCCTGTCCCTGTCATTGTCTCCAACTTCAGTCGCATTTACCACCAGAACCAGAGAGCGGACAAGCGCCGGGCTCAAAAGGTAAAAGACTATCTACCCCATATCTTTTAACTGGGAGTCAAGGGTCACACATGGGTTATCTTGGGGATGTATGTTGGGGTGTGTATAAAAATCTGGAAACTACCTCTCTATTAGGAGAGTGAGCTTCAGGTTTTTAAAAGGACGAGGTGGGAGAGAATTATGCGATTTAATGAGAAAGAAAAGAGAGGATGAAATTTGCTTTATAATGCTGGATTCAAATGGGTGTACCTCAAAACCATCTAAAGATCCTTTAATGTTCAAATCATTCAAAATAATAACCACGGTTTGAACAATAATGACTCTTGAATTTTTTTTTCATGGCCAGAACAAAAAAAAAAAGCCTTATTACAAGCTTTAATACATGTTGATGGTAAAAGGGGATTGACCCCAATTAGCAATTGTGCTATTTGTCCTTCACACACAGAGGAAATGTGTTGCCCTTTGGCTAGACATTAATTGAAGGTAGTTTTTCTGCATATATAGTTCCTATCTTTCTTTCTCATTTACACAGACTGACATACACTTTATTTCCCAGCACCAAATGTTAGCCAGCCACTCACTCTAGTTCCCCTGTGGGCTTGACCTTTCTACTGGGCTAGATAAGAGTGCTATTAAGTTAGACAGCAGCAGATGATGGCTAATTGAGGAGCGAAAAGTCTGATTTGAATCCATGGAGGTGGGTGGTTTTCTAATGAATATACTGATCTGAAACCCTTGAAACATAATGAAGTGAGCTCCCTTACAGCTGCATGTGAACCTCTGTGGCTCCTAAAAGGTTTAGTTCAAAGGGAAATATATTTGACTAGAGAGCAGTGAAGCACTTAATTAAGCAGATCCTCAAAACATAAAATACATATAGATATATACATGTCATTTCATTTTTACATCGAGCATTTATTTACTGTATAAACTATTTTCTGAACCAAAGACCATCCAGGCTTCCATCGACTTCACACTGGTTGGATAGTTCACACCTCAGCATTACTTTTGATATAAGAAGTGCGTTTCAGGTTTTCTATTAATTCTAACTTTGATATGCGTGATGTTAAGAGATTGCTTGAGATTACACCAGTGGAGTTGTGAGCCACATATCATATCTTATATGATTTGTTTATTCCACCCTTATGTTCGAATTCATACACTGACAGATATACAGTACGTTATCAGTAAAAACTGACTGTTAGACTGTATCTAACTACGTTGTTCCTCGATGGGCAGATCTTTGATTTATCTATTACCCATAAAGCAATGGTACATCATGAAGTAACAACATTTGTATGTATTTATGAGAAGGTTCAAGATTTTGGAGAAGCAATGTTTGTATCTGTGTTACTCAAAGATCCAATTATGACAAATTTCAAATATTCATAACTCTTTGGAAAGTAAAAATGAGCTCAATTTAAAAGAACGAAATAGAAAGTCTTTTGAATATCTTAAATCATATCCCTGTTAAGTAAATAAATAGGGCTTGATATTTTCTAAGTGTGTGCAGCTGCTTTTACATAATAAGTAATCAGGAATTGATTAATCTCTCTCTATTTGATGTACACATCTACATAAACATAAAACTGTTGTGGATTCTGAATAAGGTATCTGACAACTTCTGACTTACAAAATATCACAACAGGCCAAGAACCACTTCATTTTCACTTGAATGATTTTGTTTAGCTGGTTTAAGGCAAAAAACTCTTCTGCTCCAAAACCTTATAAGCATATCTGTCTCAATGCTTTCGGTGCAATCCTCTATTTATGTACATTGTTGTGATTTCCCCAAAAGGGAATGTGTTTTTTTTCTTTCTTATCAGTAAATGTGTAAATGGTTTAGACCAAAACATAAATGAAAAAGTAAAATTCATTCAAACTGAAGTCCTTCTTGAGCTTATCCATCTCTTTTCTCTACTTGGATGTGTTTTTCCTTCATGCTCCAGTTTGCTCAGTTTGAGTGTTTGGGCACATTTTTACCCAGGCAATAAAGAAGAGGCTGTGATTTAACGCTGGCCTTTTCATCTTAGTGCCATACCCAAATTCCAATACATTTTCTATGTATTTAAAAAAGGTTTAGTAGATCTCAATATGCAGCTCATGAAGACTGAGGTCACATTTCAGCTCTTCAGTCAGCTCACATCGCAATGAAATATTATATATTATGTTTTTTAGGTCCATTGATGATTCCATACTAATGAGCATGAAACTACCTATGTGCCTTGTGTTTGTAATCCTAAGAAAAGACAGATATTGACTTCCTGCCCATGGCGTACCACAATTCTTCCTCAATGCCAGCAGGCTTGAAAATTCTCCAGTCTCATACAACCCTTCTCAGAACTTGGATAAGGAAAAAACAAAGCCAAAGGAAATAAGACATGAATGGTCTTTGTTACCGCAGCCTTTTAGCTATAGTAACAGAAGGCCGTTTTTCAATCAGTATCTAATGTTGACAGGATAGCATCACAGCTTTATTGGTCTGTAGTAGTGAGGTTTATTACTTATTTCTACATGTAGAATTAGATTATATATGCTTATTTGTCCAATAAAATTTCAAACTTTAAGTAACTGGTAAAATACATCAAATGAACAGAATTTTTAGACTTTTGGCTTCTGCGTGACTTAAAAGGTGATTGTACAACAAATGTGTCCGTCTCGGCTAGAACAGGAAAATTGCACATTTGTCAATCTTCCCATTCACTTGGATTCTGTAGCTTGCACCTACCTGAACACCCTTCACTCAGCCACGGCACACTCTACAGGAGCAGTCTCAATCAACAGTACAACAATAAGTTCTGAAAAAACTCTGCATAGGAAGGCTTCAAGGACATGAAAGATTTGAGCTGAAGGAATCTGTTTGAAGCAAGTTCAATCCACAAAGATTCAATCTGACAACACACATGACAGAAACTGTGTGTTGTAAGGCCAACGTCACAGTCCTAGACACAAGAAGGCATCCTCAAATTTTGCTTGTCTGCTGACTGTTCAAGCCGTTTGGCGGTATAATGAAGAACTACTTGATACAAAGCGGCTACTTATAGCGTTACAACTGATCAGTCAGTGTCTTGTGTGTTTTCCCTGTGGTATGAGTTCAAAAATAAACTAACAAGATGGAAGAGAGTCAACTGAACGTGTTTTATATTAACCCTATTCATCACTCCAACCAGCTTCTATTACTGCATCTCTCTATGGCCTCCTGGTCCTCTCCGGATCTCATTTGTCTCTATTCGTCTTTGACAACACACTGCTTCAGGCTTCAGGCTTCCTTTACAATTATATAGTCATGTGGGGGTTGAACTTTACAAAAGGGGCCTTTTCATGTTTGCATCAATTTTTCTAAGACAGAATATATAAAGTAGAGTAACCAGATTAGTTTTATTAAGTCACTGCCAGCTAACTACTGTAGTCTTGGCCAGAGTTGATCTTCTGGTCCAGTAACTCACATAAGGTGTTCCTTATCCACCGGTAAGCTGAAATTGACAGAAGAAGAAGACAAGTTTCTTTTTTATTCATGCACTGCTTGAATGTCGAAGCATTAAGTGGATTGAGGTCACGCCAGTAATGGGAAGGCAAAGTCAAGTGGAGCCAGGCAGTAACACGGCAGGTTGTTAATCTTGGAAAAAAGACCTGTGAAAAGAGGGCAAAACAGGAAGACCAGGGCATGATAAGAAATGGAAAATTACACACAAAGAAGACATAAAGACACAAGCCAAAGGGGAAAGGTCCGATTGGTGCAAGATGGAAAAGAAGAGGAAAAGTCGTAAAAAAGTAGTTTCAGTTGTTCTGAACCTTTTTTTCTGTTCGGCAGTTGGACTAAAAGACAGCATGGTTATGCTCGAGTGTACAGAATAGGCTTGATTTGCGGAGTCAGCTGAGGCCACAGCACCCTATAGAGGCTATAAAAGGAAATAGGTAAACTTTTAAAAGAAAGTTATGGATAGTACTTTTGAAGTTAGATTAAATGTTTTTGCCCATAAAACATGTAGTTTATTCAAATCTACCTCAACAAATTCATGCAGGAATTAAATAATATCAGAGGTGAATGACAGTCATACTTCTAATAAAATTCTAAAATGACTTACTCCAATATTTTTAACATTAGTGATAAATATGATCAACAGAAGGAGAGGATGAAGGAGGGCACTGAGAAAAAAAAAACATCTGCATCCTAATGAAAGCTGTTTACTCTTTTAACATATTTTGCTGAACAATATGAGCTGTTTTATTCATTAGCCACCCTTTAGGACACGGTCGGCTCAGATAAGGGGCGGATACAGAAACCAATGTGAAACGCATCTAAAGATATCACTTCAATACAATTGTCTGGTTTGAAGACAAAAGCTGTCCATTGAGTTATGCTCAATAAACTGTGTCAGTAAATCAGATCCTACCGAAATGTCCCCACAGCAACGTTCCGTTGCTAGTAGCAACCACTACTGGTGGTCCAACAGATAATGATTCCTTATTGTCATATAGTCAAAGAAAACCCCTTAAGCATCCTTGCTGCTAATAAGCACGCAATGTATTAGCAGCGTGACATACAGTAGCACTGAGTCATGCACTGTCACCAAAAAACATCTGTGTGCTCACTGACCTGAGTGACATATTGTCTCATTATAGCGGCCATGGATTATTTTGAGTCGTCTTTTTCTGCCGCTGAAACCTGTTGAAGCCAACTCACTGTTTGCTCCTGAAACATTTGCTTGAAAGTGGAAGTTCCCAGCTGTTTTTTTTAATGACTTTCTGATGACAAGCATGTTGCTGATTGATGTTCCAGTGTAGGAATTTCATTTAGATTTTTTAGTTTTTGTCTCGTGCAATATCTGCGTTTCCATGGACACCTTCCATCTGAAGAGCGTTCCAATCAAAGTGGGAATGTGTCACGTAAACAACTGAAACAAATTGAATTGATCCAATCTGACTCAATCAGATTTCATTGTTAATTGCGCTGAGAGGGGTGGCAAACTTGATATCTGATCAACAGGAACCGGGCTACAGTCTTTCCCAGCTGTCATTGTGTGTGTGTGGTGGTTGTGATAGTGGCGTGGTGGGGGTTGGTGGTGGTTAGGGGAGGGGTGTTGATGTATTTCATGTTTTAAATTCTGTAGTTATTGTTCTTTTTGCCCAATTGTTCTGTTACACAGTATTGTGCATCATGTATTCCCTTTCTTTTGTGGACTTTCTTACGGTTATTGATTTTGTTTAGCTGTAGTCTTAGTTTTCTCATGGTTTTATTCTGGGCTTTTGTGTATCTTTAAGTCCTGATCACTGTTCAGTTTCTTGTGTCACCCATACTCACCAGTAGTTGTTATCAGACAGTTTCCTCAGTTCTTCCACACACTTGCCTATAGTTAATCAGTCCAAGTTTTTAATGAAACTGTCAGTCATTCGCTATCTACCTCCGGTCTGGTGATCTTCAGATTCTGATCATTTAGTTTTAACATGAAGAATGAGACAGAAAAACAAAAGAAAATGCACCTCTCAAAATATATCCTTTGGAAAGAAGAGTATTGCATATATAGTGCACTGCAGAATAAATACATTTCCAGCATATAACATTTACTGTAGTCTGCAATGGACGTGTTTTCTGTTGGGAATTGAAGTTTAGGATTATCCTCAAAATGTTTTAAGAAGGACCAAATACTCATTAGTAAATGTAGAAGGTATACCCTCTATCCTCAGACTCCAAGAGGGACAGAGTGATTTACGTTCAACTCCACTTCCACTCTCCACCTTTTCATTGATAAAAAAACAAAAGAAAACACACAATCGAGAAGCCCATCGTCATGATGTTGATGCGTTTGCAGCCCTCCATGGGTCCATAATCCATATTGATCACATGTTCAACTGGGAACAGAGCTTACAAAAGAGAACAAATACACTGAATTGATTCATTTTGAGAGAAGGGAGGTCTGTGGTTCAGTTTAGAGGCAGAAATAATAGTTATACAGCATAAAAATAAACACTGGTTCTCAATAAATCTCATTTACTGCTGAGAGAATTACATCGATCCTGCTATGACACCGCCATCAACTATTTGGGGACTTGTTTTTTTTTCCGTTTATGTCTTGACTGACTGAATTTTCCTCAGATGTTAAGAAACGAAAGTCTGTTTGATGGCTGTTTGACTCAGTAGACCTTCAGGGAAAGCAGGACGCTCAGCCGAACGTCAACACAACAAACCACGGAGCTCTTGAAGTTTTGTCAAGAAGTGCTTTTGATCAGTAAGAGGAGCAGACAACACAAGCAGCGATTACACTTCTAAACTCATTCACTTTTACACTGAAGACGCAAAGAAAGAAACACTTCTGTTTTCTCACACACCACACACTTTTTCGGCCGTGTTTATCGCATCTCTAAATTCTGAATTCTCCACACCTTCAGGGGTATCTGGGGTCTGACTGACAATTTTTGAATCATCCAAACTGATTCCATTACTTTTGATTCATGTCTGAGATACAGATATTGCTCTGTCAGTCTCCTATTTCTTAAATGCATTTAGGAGGGAGAGAGAGGGCAACAGAACAAAGTTAAAGAAATCCCCTTATTTTGTGTCCACAAGCTGCTGGACCAGTGGTTTACATTCATCCAAATATCCTCTTCTTTTTAAGAAATGCCCAGAGCAATTTCTCTTTCATTTCCTGCCTATCTCCTTTCCTTTGTACCATTATCATATCCATAGTTCAAAGGAGTTTTGTCTTTAGGCCTCATAGATTGAAATTGTATGTGTACAGATTTAAACTCAAGTCATATTTTTCCTTCATTTCGTCTAAAATTATGTGTGAATTTTGGCAAACTGCTCCTGAAATGAAGTTCATTTTAAATCATGTTATTATCAGAAATTCCAGAGTTTTTTTACAGGAGTGAATTTACATTTGGAGCTGGATTACACCACATATCGCATTAATATTTTTCATCATTTCAATATATATATGAATATATACACATGGAAATACTGTATATAATACCATATTTTCACAGATAGATCTCTTCACCTTATGATATCGTAATGATTTCGAGGAAACAACTTAATAGGAAATCAGTTTAAAGACTATTCACTTCTTCTTTATAATAAATTCTTTGAATAATTCTTCATATCATTTTTCAAATCAAGGCAAGTACTCACATCTATTTATGTGTAGTATCTTGCATATTATGTAAATGGTGTTATTTCAGACAGTTTTGTTATTCCATGGTTTTTGTAGCTCCTACAATGGTAAATACAATTATTTACCATTGTAGGAGTTATAAACATCAAGCCAACGCCAAGACAAATTAATTTCAAAATTTTCTGTGAAAGACCTTCAGCATGTGGAGTCAAAACATTCAGCACCTGTTGGAGAAGCATCACTGCTGGTGTCCTAGTTTAATGTGAGCACAGCTCGGATTTATGTAGGCAGCTAAAAGCTGGTAATGTACGTGTGCCCATAGACAAAATGAAATGTTCCACATTTTCATATGGGTGTATTGCGTGGGATCCTCCATGCATTTGGTTACATGCAGTGCAGTAGTGCTGTTCGGTGAGGGCTACAACTCAAGCAAAGTGACCTGCATAACTGCTGTTATCACACTTAGTGAGGGCCAAAAATTCAAAGTGGGTTTTAGAGCAGAACAGGAGTTGCTGTGAAAATTACCACATGGTTTTGGTCGTGACTTAGGAAAAAGCCATCAGTTATTCTCTGTGACCTCTTGCCCACCTCGTTTGATGCCATGTCTTCTTCCCCTTCCAACCCCCAGAAAGCCAGGATGGCGAGGGTTAGAATTGCCAAGTCTGGCAGCGCCAACGCCTTCCTCCTGAGCAAGCGGAACGGACTCCTCAACGAACTGCTAGAGCTGACGGTGAGAACTACCTCTGACCCTCTTAGTCACTCTAACAGCAAAGTGCATTCATTCAAAACAACACAGCCAGCAGATTGTATTTCCATTCTAAGCATAAATGTAAAGCTCCCGGTCTATTTATTTCACTGGAAAATTTCAAATCTGAAGCACAGACAAGCAGATTAGCAAAATGCCAACAATTACTGCCACAATTAACGAAAGGATCATTTTAAAGTAATTTGGTGGTTATAAAAGTTGAACTCATTATACTTCTGTAGTTGCACAGAGCAGTGCTGATAGCAGAGGAGTTATGTATATAATCTACTGTGCAAGCATTATACCAATTTAATCACACAAAGTGCTTTTCTAAGCTGTATTCCTCTTTTAGGTAGATTCCATGTGTGTGAAACTGGCCACTTAAAATAGTAGAGATTGTTCTTTATCGCTCATTTAGTAGCTGTACTTGATAATTGAATGGTAGGTACATTAAAGGAGGCTGGAGTAGACTTTAAAACAACATTAGCACTAAAAAATAAGACAGTGGTGACCGCAGAGATTAACTTTAAGGTACTAAAGTTCAGACATAGCCAGGCTGTTTCCTCCTTATTCATTTATAAAAAAAATTCTTATGTGAAACTTAACTTGTGGCTTTCCCCAAGAATATGAAAGCTCGTAGTTTACTAAATGCCAAGCTATTTGTTATAATTATATAGTTCTCAAAGTTCATCTGTGTCTAAGTGAAAAACTTAGTTTCTCAGTTAGACACAGGTGAACTTAACTTATTTATAACTTAGTTCGTTATTCATTTATTTGAGAGCATCCAGTATTGCCCCCTCTACTTTTACGCTTCCCTGCAAAAAGGGAAAAGATATATGTAACCAACATAGAAAACGTGTTTGGTAATGCATGAGCAAATTGCCCATATCCTTCCCATCCAGAGCTTCACTCCTGCTTTCGGTGACATATATTCTGCTCCTTGCAGATGGCTACCAAAATCCATTTGGATCTAATCGAGTCCAGTGTGAAAGCTCATGGGTATCTGGAAGTGCTTAGAATTATCATATAAATGCCATCTGTGAGCGCTGAGTGAGCCTCATCCCTCTGTGTGTCTGTGATGAGGCTGCCAGAGTCCTGGTGCATCAAATTACAGTTGTGTCACCGCTGACAGCCAGTCAGCGAGACGGCTCGGGTCTGGGGTGAAAGTGAGTGGGCATATATGACAAAATGACTGGTTCTCTCACTGTTTAAAGCTAGATTAGGAGTTCACCATGGGTCTGTTTGCTTCTGGCCATTTCTTATTCTTTGACAGCCATTTATTTGTAACACAGATCAGAAGCCTGTTGTTACAGAGAGGGATTTATTGATTATGCTGTCAAGTCTGATGATAACCCTACATAAGAGGCCATTACAGCTTTATCCCCTTGAACTATACTGTACTATATTTTTTCATTTTTTTCATGTGAGTGCCAGGATTGTTACTCTGTCTGTTTGTTTGTATATATTATTTGCAGATTAATCAAGTGCTACTCATGATTTATATGTTTTTTAATTCAAACTGATCTGCTGTTCATAGAACACTTGCATAAGCCCCTTTAAGGCACACATTTATGTCCATTAATCCAAAAGCGTTGGATTGTTTATCTATCATGTTCCAACAAATAACCAGGTGCCATTATCTAAGAAGGAGGGGGCAGCAGTTGCGCTAGGTCAGGCTTAATGACATGTACTGATCATGTTTATGTCTAAACACATTAGCAAACATACACACACAGTATAGATGGGCTAGTTTCATATAAGATCTGCTTATATGACATATTGAGTCATTAAACAAATAAGTTAAGCGTATTGCCAAGAAAGCCCTATCATAAATCCTTTTCAATGCAACTGTCAAATATTTGAGTCCACCTCATCCGCTTCGCTTTTGTAAGATTTTAAACAAATGCGCCGTTTTTCAGTCACATCACTCATCCATTTAGGAGTACAAGCATAGCCTCTCATAACTAGTTAATGGTCTGCATTTAAACATAGTCTTTTATCCTTAGCTTGTTTTAACCCAGTAGCCCACCAAGGAGGTCATCTCCCACTGGAGGAGCTTCTGGTTCAGTACATTGACCAGTAAAACATGGCTGAGGTTCAGATATCTAAGCTTTAAAGGGCTTTTAGTAGCAGGTCAACTCTGACTGCTTGTTCCATCTCCATACTTTCACACCCTCTGCAACAGGTTGCGTCAGTTTCACCTTGAAAATCAAGTATAAAACAGGCTAATGAAGCCTTCCCATCTGTTCATTTTCAAGTTTAAATTAAAGTTTTAAAAAAAGTATTCTCTTACTTTATCACTGAAGGCTGAGACATTATTTTTGTTGAAGTGTTACTGTTACAGAAACACTTGTTTTTGTGACCTGACACACCAAAACATGTGTCAGGTTACGAGTAAATGGCAAAGTGTTCTGACAAACCTACCCAAACCTTTCGACTTTGTGGTTTTCTGATGTGACATCAAAGCAACTAACACCTTTACTCACAAATACAGCCATCAGCAGGAGGCTCCAGTGAAGGCCGTTACACCAAAAAAGAATATTTTTCATAATTGATTTCATTCAACCGAACTTAAGTCTCTACAATGTTGCTCCTTCTTTAAACAACATCATAATAGAGAAAACTGAGGTGAACAATTTAGTTCAAAACTACCATTGGCTATGCTTGTTTTCTTTAAAGGTTCTCTTGGAACAAATCACAAGGTCTTTCTTTTCTGTTATTTTCTAAAAGAATTTAAGTCTCTTTATTTATCAAGAAAAAGCAGTTTTCCATTCTGACAGCATCCCAGATCTTTGAATATAACATTTTTTGTATTTCTACAAAACAATCAGTACCCGAGTAACACCTGATGGCCATAAGATTAACATTTAACATATCATGTTTATTGACTATGAAAAATTTCTATAAGTTAAGAGACATTTCTTATTCCATTTAAATGATACAACTTATTAAACTCCCAAAGACTTTTTTCAATACTGACAAATAGATAATTGTTCAAATTTTCAAGTCAGCCTGGTCACAGAGTCTCAAATTTTTTCCTTCCAAAACAGTTAGCCTCTCCAACAGGCCTTTTCTTACCGCAGCTCTATCTTTCCAATCTTTTGAAAAATATTTCTTACCTTAAAGGTAAAACAAGAATTAAATTCATACATTTGTATTTTCAGAGCTAATTAAACAACATTAAACCACCAGAATATTGGATTAGTAACTTCAGTGTGGTTTCAAAGTGAAATCTATCGCACTTCTCAGTTCTAATGAGTGACGGATCTCTTTAACTGAGTAAAAAAGGAGGTAATTGAACATGAGAGGATTGCTGATTAGATAAAAAAGAACTAAATCCTACCAAAAACAATTCAACATGAATTCTTCATCTGAGGCTGATGCTTTAATGGCTAACAAGGTCTGGTCAACGGTACAATCAAATATTTTTGTATGCTGTTTCACAGTTGTTTAACATGAGTTACCAAGTAAAATGAAGTAATCTGTTTATGAAAAAAATTTTGTCCTTTGTATGCTGAATGTTCAGGTATCTAAAGTACTTGCTTTCTGATCAGGGTCATTTTAGAATTTCTCCTGCACTTGTATCTTTAATACTGTCATTTTTGTATTTTTTAATTAAAATAACAGTCTTCTATAGCTATTTTGAAAATATGTTACTCAGGGTAAACCATGGAGTATGACTTGGGTCAGTATACAGACGATGTGTAGAAAATCTGTATCTTTCATAGCATTAATTTCAGCCTCTGTCGGTAGTTACATAGTGTACATCAGTCCCCCTGCTTCAGGCAGATTCACACATAACGACCAGATTAGAAAGCATTCTGTTCTCCAGCCCACATTGATGTACTGTTGATGCTCCTGGAAACTGAATGAGAGTACTTGGGTTGGACCACCTCCCACCCAAATCCCAAGAGTCAAAATGCACGCAGCGGGAAGAAAATTAATTCTCACTTTTCATGTTATTTGGCAATTCTGATTACTTTGAGACTAAGCTTTATTTGGGGCTTAGCTTTGAAAACCAGTTTCGTTTGGACAAATCCCAATAAGTGGTTCCATAGGTTTGATGATTTGTTTTTAGTCAGAACTGTTTATTCCTCTTTTCGACATCAGTAACTCTTCAGCTGCCTGGAACATCAAATAATGCTCAGTGGTACCTACTTACATAATTGAGAGCTGGCAGTAACACAGCTTTGGAATTTATGTTATGAGTTCAGTTATTGTCATTCCACTGCTGCCTAAAACCAAATGAATAGTAGACCAACATATGTTCAGACCAAATGTAAATCTGGTCCATTATATAACTAATTTGGTAATAAGGAAGCACAAGTAGTTGACTAGCTGCTCAACAAAAAAATGAATAGGAAGATAGTTCTGCAGGAAATGGAAGACATGGGGCAGAACGAAAGCAGCACATCACTGACTTTTTATTACTGATGACAAAGTTCATTTTCAGAGTCCTCAGTAAATATCAAACTGCCATTTCAGGCTCCCTGTGCAGAGTGATCCGTGTCCAGGGCTCTACCAGCAAGGGCTGGAATAATCTGGCAATACCTTCCAACTCTCTGTGTGTGCATGCATTTGTGGGTTCTTTGTGTGTGTGTGTTGTTACTCAGGGTACAGAGGAGGATGAGCAGAAGCTTTCAAAGTCCCTCTCTCTGTTAGAGAGCCAACACCACCATCTACTGCACTGTCTGGAGAAAACCACTGTGAGTGATTTTATTTTTCATCTTGTAACTTTGAATGTCAAATGTCTTTATTTTTTGCCCAGATTGAAGCTTACATTTAGCACAAAAGTACCTTTTATGCAGTCATCTGAAAAATAGAATGAAGGGAGTTATACCGCTGTTACAAATAACTGTCACTGTGACAGCACCCTTCTTCCTATCACCAAATCTGTGAATCAAAAGCTGTCAGAGGAAAGACAAAAAGGTCCGTGGAGACAAGCTCAAAACATCTGCCTGGCAGTTTGACAGGCCTCACGTGACATGCTGTTGCTGTTTGAGAAGAGTTGAAGAAATGAGTTGCTCTTTTTCAAAAGTTCTTGTAAATACTCAACTAGAAAATCAGGTGCTGCATAGGCAAAGTGGAAGTGATCGATTTTAGTTGGTTTGAGCTCTGGAGTCTGAGCCTCTGACGGCTTGTTTAATATAAGGTGCGCAAAGCGAAAAAGCGCGTCAACTTCAGGGTCGGTGGACTTTCTCCCTGTAATCATAAGTTTACCCCTGCCGCTGTGCTGTGTTTTATTGTGATTTGTGGTTTATCCAGCGGTTTGTATATCATTAGATTGTCAGGCGTGCAGTCAGTGTGACATTTCAATTCATGTTAAATTTCAGTTTCAGTTACTTCTGTGTGACTATTATTGATTGCCAGAAGGCACAGCAAACTAAATACTATGTAGTTAGGGCCTCAATTTATAAATCAATCAGGTTTCTCTCTTGTCCTTTTATTGTGTGAAACCTTAAATGGTATTTGATCTGCAAGTCAATATATTAAAGTTAAAATGTGTGGTAATCTATATATCGTATTCGTTTCCATGATAACTTGAAATAATTTACCCATCACATGTCCTGGCTATTATGACATGTGTGCTTACTTTTTTCTGATCTTTTTTGTGTCTTTTCCAGGCTCACGAGTTTGTGGACGAGCAGTTGTATGAGCAGAATTGTTTAGAGACAGCTCTGCAGACCTATCCATCACGCAGCCCCTCTATGGCCAGCCATGACAGCCCTGACGTCGGCTGCTGTGGTCGGAGGGGAAAGAGGAACAGTCCTCTGCCCAATGCCAGCCTCCCCGCACCCCCCCCTGCCCCCAAACACCAGGGCCCGCTGCAGGAACTCAGTGCCATCCACATACAGTGTGGGGAACCACTGTTACACACTGCAAGGTGAAACTCTTCAGAAACACACAACTTTACAGCTGCAGGAGTGCATGGCCGTCAGGTCGCAAGGAGAATTGAGCCGAATTTTTCAAGGAATCTTTCACAGTTTATGAGGTAGAAGTTTTCTGGAGGCCATCCCAGCTGTCACTGGATGAGAGGCGGAGTAGACCCTGAACAGATTATATGTCCATCACAGGACCGCACAGAGACAAACAACCACACATTCACTATTATGGGGATTTTTAGAATAAAATGCACGTTTTTGGCTTGTGCGAGGACCCACACAGACACAGGGTGAACATGCAAACACGACACCGAAACCTTTTTTCTGTTAGGCGATACACTAAGTATACGCTGGAAAAATCCTCAGAACTCACATAGACACCAGAGGGCACTGTAGGACCTCCGTAACACACACTCCGTCCACATTAAAGGGATGAATCCATGGTGGTGGTGGGTTTGAAATTGTCTCAGTTAATTTGATTCGGTGTGGTTGTTTGTGCTGCACCTTGAAGAACTAGTGACCCTTCCAGGGTGTAACCGACTTCCTGCCTGATGGCGCGGACCGGCTCCATCCCTCCTGCAAAGAGTAAAAAAGTATTTAAAAAATCTGTGGATGAGTGTTCACAAGATAAGTCTGGCTTTTTTGAGGTTGTAGACTGAAATGCTCATGAGCAGACTGTGTCTCGCTGGATTAGATGGTCATACTTTAGTTTCAGAGTTTCAGGAAAGATATATTATAATTTTTTTACAATTAAGTAAAGGATAAAAGCAGGTTTTCCCTATGTGGAATTCTTCATTCTTGGAGTTAATTTGCTTGATATCCCTTAAGCATTGATTTGAACGGATAATTTGTTCTCTTTGATGAACATTTTTCCTTTGAATCTAGTTTTTACATCTTTAATGTGCCTTTACTGAGACTTTAAACAGTTGTACTCCTGTCCGTCTTTTCTTTAACAGTCGTTCACACCTCAACCTGAAAACTGACGACGGCGGCAGGTTCAACAGCAAAAGCGGCCGCATCACCACGGCTATCATCAGCCTCCCAACACCTCCTTCTTTAACCCCTGATGGCGACGGTCTCCACGGGCCGCCACAGCGAAGGCCGCCCCCTCCTCCTGGTCACCCAGCAACCCCGAGCATCCAGACCACAACAAGCTCCAGCAACATTGTCAAAGTCTCAGCTCTGTGACCCTTAGGCAGGTGGATGTAACTCAACGTGGCAGAGAGAAAAATAAAGAAAAAGTGGGGGGGAAGAGGAGGAGCCAGAGGGTGAAGGTAAAATAACATTGATGGACACACTTTGTCCCCTCGCACATTGTCGATGGCAAGAGCGTTGTGCCCCAGAATTACGGAGACATAACTTTTGGACACCAGATATGTGGAACTGAGGATCACACTCCTGTCATTTGTGTATGTACTGTAGATAAGGAGAGATTTACTGCATTTCTAATAGTTTCTAACAGCCGTGCAGATATTTTACAGCTCATACTGTGAAAATAAATGAAAGACATCGTGCATTTAGCATTAAACTTTACCACAAATTGACAGTAAAGTTATTGTGAATTTACAGTGAAAAGAACATTTGTTGACCTTAAATACTGATGAAAGATAAAGGTGTTAATTGTGTTTACTGGAATTTGTTTAGTCTTGTTTGTGTTCTGTGTTACGTATAGAAGAAGAAAAAACGTTTGAAAATTCACAAAGCTGCTTATATCAGCACTGAACTGTGTGTGATATGTGTCAGACACTGAAAAGGGCACACCAGTCAGGTCTAAGGCTCCAAGCAAGCTGTGGGTTTTGGCAACATCATAGTGGTTCTCAAACTACTTGAATTGAATTATTGATACTTTTGATAAAAGCATGTGGCTCAAGTTGTGTAGTGTGCAGCTAATGGTGCATCATACACAGCAGCTGAAAGGACCAGACCCAGCATCACTCTCCATCTTCTGCCGTTTGCCACATAGGATTATTTGTTTATTTGTAGCCAATGTCATTCAAATTCACGAAAATCATTTGTTGCATTATTTAACTGCACACTTCCCTGAAAATTAATGTAATATAACAGTGTTTTTGTTTGTTAATTCCAAAAAAATCCTTATAAATTTAATTAAAGTACAAAAATCAATCAGAGAGGTTAGTATCAGTTGCCTGATAGTAATTTGTTAAGAAAAGTATGAAATACTACAAAAAGTTCTGGGATGCCTGTAACGGGATGTGAGGCAATACTCACTAAGATGGTATGACTCCAATATGTGGCTATTCTCTTGCCTGTGTCCTCACAGAATAACCCAAAATGAGATCATGGGTCAGACAACATCCAACTGACCCAAAGGATTTTCTTTAGCCTTTAGTCTTTTTATAACTGGCTGGCATTGGTTTGATTTCATCGTCAGCAACTTTTGTTTCTCTAAAGCCACTTCCACAGCTTTTTGTTTTTCTCCTCCACCTGAGCATCAAGTGATCCTAATGACCAGAGACCAAGTCTCTAGAAATATACTGTATATTGATATATATTTATTATATTTTAAAAGTTAGTTTTGTCATTTTTCTTGAGACAAACAAATATTCCAAAGTGGTGCTGTTAAAGTAAAGACTAAAGGAGTCAAAAATACAAGATAGGATGATGGAAATTATTAACCAAATCAGTATTTTAAATACTCCAAAGATTTTTTTTAGGATTGAGACTTTTTACATGGAAGATCAGCCATGAAAAGTCTCAGAAATGCTCACAAGATGGCAGCAAAGATGAGCCCCAGTTTCTGGCCTTAATTCTGCTTTTTGTATGTACCTGCTGCACATGGTTGTTCATTTGAACTGTTGTTTCGACTTGTTTGTGACAGTTTTTCAGACGTGATAAAGTTGTTTGTATCAAATGAGCATTGTGTTTATTTGTCATGGTTTCTTTGTTTTTCTGAGGTGAAACCTGATGATTTCACTTACTGTGTTTTTTAGAGTCATGGAAAGTATTTTTGCTGTAATGGTAGAATTTCTGTTGCATTTGTCTTTTTTCCAACCGAGATGAAGGTATTGTGCCAAAATGACCACTTTTTCCATTCTCTGTAAAAAGAACTAAGACATGCGCTGCTTTACTGAAGATGAAAAACCCCCTTTAGATATTTCCCCCCTTCCTGTTATTGTTTAAAAAGTCAAGCATCATTTTTGGTGTTCAAACTTGAATCTTGGTCACCGCTGGAAGAGTATGAACACATTAGGGCTTTTTGCAGTATTATACACCATCTTCACCCACTTTTCACAGTAGAGTGAATTGGATCACTTCTGAAAAGTCTTGGCATTGCTGTTTGTGTTGTTTCTTATCTTTTTATCCTTTTGAACTGAGCTTTCTTGTCTGTTTGCTGTGTATACGAGTTTCTGTCAGTTTGTTTGTTTGTTATAACAACTACGTGTCAGATAAAAATTAAAATCTGCCACATCACTCAAGTTTTTACCTTTGTTTTCTCCGCTGATGCTTTTCACTGTCAGTTTGGATCTATACAGTTCATTCCATCAAAAATGGAAATTGTGTATTAACTGTAGCTTAATTCCCTTTTTGAAGTATTTATATGAGATTCCATCACTAAGAGAAGTAGTGCAAAGTGCAAACTGAAAGTTTGAACATATAAAGTGATGTGATTCTTCTGCAGTTGCCTCTGAAAGGATTTACCTAAATGATTAGAGTTTGTTTATTATGCACTACACTTGTTCTGTGTTGACCTTGCAACTTATAAGTAAGCAGGAAAATAGATATCCTGACTTTTTAAATGTCCTTTATGCAAGAGAGAAGTTCGATTATCTATCATTTTACAGCTGGACACACCTGAAATTAACAAAAAAACACACACATTGTTGAATTGCAGGACAACTAATAGCACAAAAAGCATGAACTCTATGAGCTCTATGAACATTATTGTTCATATTTTGGAAAGAAAGTAATTCAAGAAAGCGAAGACATAATTGAACATTTTTCTTTAAGATTTTTCTTTGGTTTGGCACACATGTTGTTAAACTTAAAGAAGAGCATTTACACCAACAGAATATTCGGTGATCTAATACTGTGTTTAACGTCAAACAAAGTCCAAACCGCAGCCATCACAGATGTGATGAAATAAGTCTTTTGAAGTGCATTCAGCATCTTGAAGGAAAAAACGTGACTGAAGAAACTAAATGTTGTAACGTGATGCACAGAGTCCCGGATTCTCTTCATGTTCCAGAGGTGCTTCTTTCATCTGCCCAACCAGGTGTTTTTCTGTCAGCTCACTCAAACCCACATGTGTTGTTCAGAATCTCCTGTAGCTTAAAACCTGTAATTAGTGTTCATCTGGCTGACATCATCGCACTTAAGGACCACATGAGTCAAACGCAAACGTATGACTAACCCTGTTCCGAGATAAACATCCACATTTCCAGCTGCTTCAAACAGTGCACATGTTTAAAAGATTTAAGTTACAGCTCAGAAAACTTTTTATCATCATCGATCAAGGCTTGTAGTGATGCATCCAAACCTTTAGATGGCAGCACACTGACAACATTACTGGTGTTAGTAAAGCCTAATAACTCTACCGCTACCGCAGGTTAAAATACTAAACTCTTTTTTTCCTTTATACATCATTGTTGGCTGTAGTAAGCTAAAGTTTTAACAACAATGATTAATAAAGTGCAAAAAATTAATCATTAGACATATTGGTCAATAAAATACAGTTAAATGATGAAGAATCGCACATTTATTACAGATTTTAGGGTCATTTTCTTCCAAGCTAAAGATTTTTAATATCTATGATGGGTAAGAACATAAAAGAATTGCATTTGGAATGATGGACCGTGGTATTTTTGCTCCAAATGTTCATTCAGGTGGAACATTTCTCCTAGTCCCTGGCTACTTACTGATCTCATTAAAAACCTTTTGTCACATTAGGAATTGAATGTGTTTGATTAGTTACACTGTACAACTTATTCCTCACACCAACATATCTTTTAAGGGTTTCTTTGTGTAAAATAATAAAAATAGATTACACAACAGTATAATATTAAGGAATATGTCAGTTTAGCACAAACGTGTCTTTTTGATATCGGATAACTGTTGCAATGTGTTACAGTGGGTGACGTTGTCTCATTACAGTCTTTGATTTTGTTCCGCAAAACCTAAAACATGGATGTCTTTTTTGATTGCTGACATTGCTGTAATAAAAGGATGTGACAGGACATATGAGGACACATGACCGTTCATGGTAAGACGATTATTTAGCCTCATGCAAAAAATAAACTCCCAATATGTTTGTCTTGCACTGAAGTTCCACTTCTCTGTTTTCATTTAACATTTTTACCAAGTCACATAGTACATCTCATTTATGGTAATCCCAGGCTTTAAGCATCAGTGAAATTCCAGTTTTGCAAAGGCAGTGTCTAAGCACTTCCTGCCAACTATAAATACGATCAGCTTGTGGCTTCAGCTGGGCTCTCCTGTCTTATGTCTGTAACACAAAGCATGATATGTAGACCATTTGTTGAAACATGGAACTGAGACCGTTCTTAGTGGGTGGTGAAGTGTTCGTCTCAGCGTAAAAGTAATTTGTTTATTTCTCTATTTTACATCTTTAAGATTAGTCAATTCACAGCAACCCAAATACAGAAATCTTACCTGTTATACATTTCAGCCTCTTGGTTTTAGCCTTTAATCTCCTCTATTGAGTTTCTAAGCAGCAGGAATCTGTCACAGTTTCTGTTTATAGTCAAAACACAGACATTGTGAGTGCAATGGTAACTATGATGATAAAACACACCACACAGTGTGGATCCACACCAGAAATGACTGTCTTCATTGACTTATTTTTTTCCCACACACAAAAATCTAAGAGGTCAAAACTCTCAGTGAGCCACAGTAAGATTAACACGATGTAATTAAAGCGGCCTCTGCTGCTGCCTCCTGTGCCATGCCAGTTGCAGTGCTGACTGATGGGAGTAGACGCTTTCTTTTCCAGTGTTGTGCTCTTACTGACAGCTGGGAGGAAGTGAGTTCATGGACATGAAGCAGCTGCAGGTCGGGGTCACATTTGGGATGAAAAGATCATGCGAATCTTAAAGCAGCCAGCTAAAAGATAAATAGATCCACATGTCTCCATCTCACTCTTGAATTATAGAGATATAAAGTACAGCACACTAACCCTCACGTGGGCTAGTTTAACAATTCATTCACATGGAGCTAAGTATTAATCTTCTTCTCTTTTAAAGGTCATGTTTATTCAGAGAAAAGCAATCCAAAAAGATTTTGCAAACAGTGATTTGACCAGATTTCAATGCAAAAAGGCAGCGAGCCTGCATCCGTTTAAAAAAAACAGAGCATGAATAGTAAGAGGAGGGGTTTTTTCCATCACTGTGCTTTATTTTTGCCTTAAGAGATCCAAAGATGTCTCAGTTGAAGTAATAGTCCATGCCATGCTTGCTATGATTTTCAAAGAGCATCACTTAATCAGTTACAAACGGTTCATCTGGTGAACTGTTCTGACTGAATATGAGGAAAACAACCATTGCAATGATTAAAGGTTTTAGGTTATAATTATGAGAACAAAAAGATAACCTGGTGGGGAATCAGAATCAGAATCAGAAATACTTTAATAATCCCAGAGGGAAATTATTTAATAATCCCAGAGGGAAATAATATTCTCACATCCAATCTTTGATGACTCATATAGTGTAAAATAATTAAAAGTCAGCTAAAACTGTTTTTCCTCTTGTAGAAATTGCGATGAATGCAGATGATTTATTCATTTTCTCTGTTGCGTTGTGTGCATAGTTCTGGATCGTTGCATCCGTCTGTCCATCTGGGACACATCACCACCATCAGGTCAGGTTTGAAAACTTCCAGATGACAAAAGCAGGTCAGAGAGCCCGTTTTTTTTCTGAATGGCAGCAAAAGGTACTACTTTCACTTCTGCCAACAGTACTTTATGTCCAATTGAATATTTTTATAAGTGCTAAACAGTACTTTACTCTAAGAGGTTGTCACCATGGCCTTTCTATGCCATCGTGTAGTGTGGTGTGAGATGCCCACAGAAATCAAAATAATAATGATACAATATGATGTTTTTAGTTTTTTTTTTATTCTAGATCTCCAGCACAATCATTTAAAGGAAGAGCAGATGTACATGTTTTCTTGGCATTCCTTGTGCAGCTTTTCATATGGGAAGTAGTACATACAACTTCCATGCTGCTGGCTTTGTATTTACAGCTTCCTTCCCCTGTCACCTCTCAGGTGTTTCCTCTCTGCCTACAAACAAACTGGCCAGGAAACTGTCCTTATGACTTCTTTCATGACACATGCACTTCTTCTGGATACATCCTCCTTTAAACTCCTCCTGCAAAAAACCTGCTTGTACGTGATATAAGTCAGCCACGCTGATTTCCATCCTGTGTTTCACCAGCCAGTCTCATTAAAGAATCCCCGGCTGTTTCAGTGTCCTTTTGGGGGGAAATAATTCTGGGCCACTACAGACGAATCTGCTTGTCTACGATAAATGATGGATTTATTTCGGTTTGAATGAGATTTAGTCTGCCACGAGAGGCTCACTCATTGGAGGAAATTGAATGGGAATCGCAGGCGCCTCTCTTGAATGGTAAGATGGCAGAGGAGGAGGGGAAAAAGAGCCAGGAGCAGCAAACACACATGCACATTTAGTCAGACTGCAGCCAGGCACTGGCCACTGAGAAGGAAGCCCGGACTGATGCGGCCACAAGAAGGACCTCATTATCATTTTTTGGAGTAAACACATCTCCGTCACCGGGAGGAATCGCGTCAGTGCGAGCAGCGTGCGCATTCCTCAGCAGGATTTGCGCATCTTTGATTGTAAATTGATTTCTGCTCTTAGTGTTTTGTTTTTTTTGCTCTCCATCCCAGGAGAAAGTGTTCACATCATGCTCCAGCGGTAGCTGCGAGGCGTCCTTTCTGCTATTCCACAATTTCTTTTTTTTCTTTTTTTTTAAAATGGACCAGCACCTCTCCAAACCCGAATCCAAAAACATGGACGCGTGTCTGAGACGGCTGAAGCAAGAACTGGTAGGTTCCGGCATTTATTATTCTGTCATCGCAAGCAAGCACGGATGGTGTTGATACAAATCACTCACTTAGCTCTTTTTTCTATTTTTCCACAATATAAAGAAAAAAAATCATTATCATAGCAATGATATTAAAATCTATGGCTCTTATGCATATTATCAACTCACTTGTACATTTCAAACGGCCACATTATTGCTTTTAGTGTTCAGATGGGGGTGTATGTTTATCTTTTTTAATCGCATTAATATGTGTGGGTTTAAAGCCACGAGCACATTAGAGGCGCACGTACTCATCTCTACTTTTGGTCTGCACATCTGGGACAGATGCGTTAAGCTTAATGGCCACCACTCCATGCACAGATATGTGAGTTTGCAAAAGAATGGGTTTCAGGCTTCACACTAGCCTCACGTGCTGTTAAAAATGTGATCTGGTCTTGGAGCAGACTGCTCTGAACTGTGAGTGTGCACAGGAGAGTGAGTGAGGCAGATTGGCAGTCGTGGTGAGCTTCCTCTGAGTTGCCCTAAATTAATTAATCATACTTCATACTTAATATGTTAACATCGGTCCTCGAGTGATTAAATGTGTTTGATGATACCTACTTCGGTGCCAGCTCTTTTATTTTCTTTGAAATATAAAAAGGAAATCTTTAAGCCGGACCCTGCGGCGCAAAATCATCTGGCAGGGACACAATGTAGAGGCTGATTCACAGGAGCCTGATCTGGCACAGATTTCATTTGGAATGATCTTCAAAGCATATATTTTTTCCCTCTCTGTCCAGCCACTGGTCTGCTGAAACGCCTTGCATGACTTCTTGTGTTCCAGCATAATCTTCTCAGCGGCTTCTCGATTGGCCACTTCAAATTAGCCGATCGTCTGTGAAGTGGCACTTGAGATTTCAGGGGAGTAGAGAGAGACTGATGCCAGAAAGACATGTTATGTTGTAGTTGCCACATCTCAGTTTGGTAACGTTATAGATAAAGTGTCAGGCCGTGCCGAGAATCAATCAGAGGAACAGTGAGCAGATGTCGGTTAAAAAGATGAGGCTGTCTCCCCCCCTGTATGGAACCATGTGGGATCCAATCTGTTGTTCACAAAATAAGAGGAGCCTCTGCCAAGATTGTCAGTTTTCTTTGGACTGTGACTGACTTTCAACCAGTGCTCACAGCATAGGGGTAAAACCGTCTTTCTCGTCAGTACAGAGATCACACAGCTTCTAGCATCCTGCTTACAGGTACCACGGCGAGTCAAGTAGCTCTTCAGAGTCACTGTGATGTAGTTTCAAAGGATCCCATCAAATGTTTTGCACATTTTGCCCTATTGACTACAAATGACACGCACCTGAAACCACAGAACACTATTTAAAACAAATATTTCTGCGTGAAATTCACGCAGAAATATTTGATCTGTCCAATCCATCTCACACGGAATCAATATTGGTAGACTTCTGTCAAAGTAACATTGTAATATTGCAGTTTCATTTGACTGCACTGTGTTTTAGCGCCATGAGCTCTGAATATGTGGTTATTACCCAATTTATGCAAATAGTACGTTAACCAGCATCAACTCTGTCCTAATGCTGGAAGGGGTTTTATGCTGTTAAGAGTAATTACTAGTGAGCGGTGTGCTGTATCTAGACCATCAGAATCATGTCCCCTCCACGTAGAGCCTGCTGTGATAATCTTAAGGCAGTCTTTTTTCAATCCACACAACTGTGTCAACCCTTCTGTGAAGAATTTGCTCTTCTTTCCACCTCTGATATGAGACTTAAAAACAGATTAAGCTTTAATGTGTGCTGTCATTATGTATGAAGATGAATGTAAACGGCCACATGCATGTGCAACAAAAATGCATATTACCTCGTCATATAGACAAGAAGATGGCCGGCGAATTTGTAAACAAGCCATAATCTTTACAGGAGTAGAAACATGCAGTGACAGTGATCCTTTGTAATTTCACCTTTATGTAAACTGAACAGCCAAACCGGACAGTCTGCATAGTTCAGTTTGCAGCGACTGTAGTCCTGTGAGAATATGAGCGTGGTATTCATAGTCTGTGTAAAAGTCATGTAAATCAGAGTTCTGAACCCTTCAGCCACTAAAAGTCAATGCCATTTTGTCTCTAAAACAAGCTGAATATCATACGAAACTGTTGACACAGTCAGCGGCGGCAGTTGTGAAGGCAGAGTAGAGCCACAATCATCGTTAACGTTTGACCTTTGACCTGACATGTACCGGGACATGCCGGATTACCTTGTCAGACACTTCAAAGACTTAGAATTTACAGATTGCTTGACTAGACCTTTTTTTTATTTTTTTCTATTCGTGTCATTTGCTGAAAAACATTCTGTCAACACAAATTTGTTTTATTAACAGGGCTCCATAGAAATCTTGTTGTGATGGCAATGGAATATTTTTAACTCATGACTCATGATTCAAGCAGCACACAGACAAAGAGTCATGAAAAAGAAAGCATTAGCCCTTCCTGCCGACTTACATTTGAAAATACAAACACCGACATGCCTTTGACTAATGCTGTCTGAGTTTGAGGTTCCCACCTTTTTTAGTCATTTCGCACACTAAAGCGCACATCAGCTTTTTATATTTGAAGCTGACTTCACATTCAAAGTCCCGCTTTATTCTCTTCACACCTGAGGGGAATTTCAATCCCAACCGTCATCTTGGAATTCAGCGCCAAAGAAAACAAGGCATGAAGTCATGAAATCTAAGAGATACGCACGCTGTTAAACCTGTGGAGGCTTCTGGAAAGTTCCACTCTCTTTGTTACCTCACAAGCATTGGATCAGAAAAACCGTACACAAAGCAGGGCAGTGGTTCAGCCCTGAGTTAGTTTGTTTTGTTCCTCCCTCATGGCTTCTGTGCTTCAACCGTCCCTTCCTTCCCCTTGGCTAAAATTGGCCCAACTCTCAGTGGCAGCTGTGGGGTTTGCGTGGGTGATCATTGTGTTTGAGATGGACCCGCAAACCTGCAACAAAGCCTGTTTGTCATAACGAACAAGCGCACATTGGCTGCTTTTTTCATGCACCACAGAACGGATTTGCTCTATCGAAGGTGTCAGATATATTTGGAAGTCCTGACTCTATCCCTCTTGAGACAGTTAAGTGGTTGAGTATGCATACTGCAGCCATCATGTGTGTCTTTATCGAAGCTAGACCCATCCCTCATGTCCTCTTTTTGGCTTCACTGCAGGAAGAAAAATGTTGGTTGTTTGTTGTGGGATCTGAGATGTAGGTCACTATCCATCACTGTTTTTCTATGTCCAGAAGAAATAGTTAATGTGAATCTGACCTGAAAGTGTGTAATAACTTAATAAATTATTAAGAGGATTGTTTTGAAAAAATTAAAAAACAATTTTTAGTCGTGATTGTTTTCTATCCCCGCTTAAACTTTCCAAGCTTTGAACGGCTTGGAATATGTTGTCTTTAACCCTGAAAAAGATCAATGAGAAGAGAAGAAATATTTAAAACGTTAAATTTAGCTTCAAGGTCCTTCAGATCAGATTTAGATTTTCCTATCTTCATTTCTTGCCATCTGCTTAATGATAAAAAATGATATTACTTGAAATATTGAGTGCATGTAGTTCATTTAGTGGTAACTTCCCGTGCATTTGCATTTGCTGTCTCATTCATCAGAAAAACGCTAAAGTAATGTAAAAGAACTCTGCACATAATAGTCATATCCACTTTCCTTCTGGAACTGTTTCCAGAACTGTTTCTGTGATGTGAGAGGGGGTTGGAGAGTTGGACGAGCACTTTTTTGCCCACACACACAAGACACTGACGTCATCTGCAGCGTCATCTATGTAAATACTGTTTCTTTCGGTGAACGTTGTCTTGCCGCCAGGAAGACAGCAAATCAAGCTCCAGGCTGTCTCCACATCTCATCTGCCAAAGAGAATGATATGGATCCTAATCACCCTTTGCCTCCCACAGCAGCAGCATCATTTGTGATGGCGTAAATGAGCTCGAGCAGGAAAGCAGTCATTAAACCACCTCCCTGTCTCTGAAAAGGCCGTCAGGGAGTCTTCTCTAAACTGCAGGACCTAGATGCAGTGATAGATTGGGTCTAAACATTTTCATTTTACAGCAGTAGTTCTTCTCTTTTTTCATATTCCCCTCAGGTCTTGGAGATGAATCTTTTACTTGCCCATCCTTTGAAATATTTCTGCTTCCACCCAAGTATGATGGACATGAATGGAACAAAAAGCAGCATCTTAAAGACTATCTCTTTCCAGGTCCCCTGTTAGCCTGGGCAGGGCTCACTACAGTAATCGGGAGTTATACTGAAAGGAGCACTCTGCAACATTAATGACAATTGGTTGGCAGAAATTTGATATAGCATTTTCTGCATTATTCCATTCATGCAGGATCATATCAAAATGAATATTTTTGTCACAGTAAGTTTTTGACACAACAATAAGCTATTTATCTTTTTTTTGTAACTCCAGACTTAGAAAAAAAGGGGTCACACTTAGGGCCTTTTGTAATATTAGTGACCACTTTAGTTTTTTCTGTATTGATGACTACCAGTTCATTACAAGACTGATTTCAAATTAAACAGTGATGAGAGGAGAACTTTGATTTTGCCTTAACTACCATGACACAAATGTATCCCTAAACCACACAAATAGAACATTCTAAGACATCTGATAGACAAAAGCAAAAATGACTTCACACATTTGGGATCTCTGCAGAATTAATGATGTGAAAAATGATAATAATGTACACTCTCTATGATATCATGCAACAAGCATTTTTGTGTCCAACATTCTTTTGGTTAACGTGATTTACACTTGCTCCTCTGCTGAGCAGGGCCCTCAGGGAATCAGATCCAGACAGAGTTACCATGTAGTGTTGCCCCAGCAAAGAGGCCTTCACAGCGTTTGCACAGCAATTTATTTCCCTCGGTCAGTGTTGCGCAGCTACAACTGCTCTCCTCATCACAACCCCGGGGCCGTCCACTGCCACTCTGCTATAGAGACCTGCTCTGTGTCCCCGGACAGAGAGTCCATTCCTGTCCTTGACCCACACAGCGCCACCATTCATTTTTAATTGGGGATAAAGGTGGAGGGAGGGTGGAACGCCCACAGTATGTGCTGCTGCTGGTCAGCTCCTTCCAAACAGGATGACCTTTTGGTTCAGATAACCTTAGCCTAGCCCTTCAGGCAGCAGAAGATTTTTTCACATTAACAGAAAAAAGAGCATTTCTGTAATTTCTTCTTTAAGTCCTTTTCACATAGTACTCAATGCTACATGCCACCATCAACTTAGGAATAGGAACTGACTTCTTTCAACCATAGCATGTCTGTTTGTGTATGTGTGTGCGTCAGACAGCAGAAGATGAGCGCTGATTTATTTATAATTTGTGGTATTTAATTCACTTGCATTCATATTAAATCGTTTCTGGATGCATCTGCACGGAGGATGCAGCCTGACATGAGGCAGTTAAATAAAGAACCATCCATCAAGTTCGTCCTTGAATCAAACTGTTCAAAAGTTTCTAATTAGTTTTCGTTGAGCATTAGTTCGATTTTGACAGCCTTTGTTCTTAAACTCTGAAGCATTCAGTACTTGATAGGCAATTATGTTTGGTTGACTGGCTTCACTACAGCCAGAAGAAAAAGTAGGGGCGAAGGAAATGGTGGGAGGGTGGACAGTCCCCGTTTGTCCTCCACACACTCAGTAAATTCTTCCCTTGCTGGCTTTTTGAAAAAAAAACGATCTCTTTCATAGAAATACACACTTGATAGATTTAATGAGTGATATACTTGGAGACTTAAGTTCAAAAGGAAGCTTTGACTAAACTCCACAAGACTGTCTTAATGAGGCTGGTGTCTCTGTGCGGGGTGGCAATTCCCCACCGCCCTCATTTCATCCCAATTCTCAATTTTAATTAGATAAGACAGTCATTATTCCTCACGTCTATTTTCCGTGCTTAAGGTGTTGGTCCAGGGCCTGTCAGACCTTCATCCCATGTGTGTTTGACCTAATAAAGCCTTTGGCTGATTCACACATTGTAATCAGGATTCTTTGTTGGATTTCTGCAACATTTGTGTGTAAACCAGAAACAACTGCAGGATATTGTTTTAGCCGCCTATGTAAAGAGCAACAGAGGAAGGCCTGGAGTTATTAACATAGGTAACAGTGGAATAATAGAGTATACTATTTTTTTGTTTGTTCCCCAGAGTGCAACATGAATTATTAATATAGCCTCAAAATGGAAATGCCAGTAAACAATCATGTGTTTTATAATGACTGCTGGGAGTGCCTGTGTTTTTGGAATGACGCTAAAGTTACACGCGAGTTTTAGAGAACACCATTTTTGGTTTGCGTGTGTAAAAAGGAGATCATATTTCCAAATCAAATGTAATATATTTAAGTGGTCCACATTTCACCTGCAGCCCAGAGTGCAGTAATCCCTCTGCTCATCCCTACAGAAAGTTTACCAAAGCCTCATTCCTGTCTCAGAGGACCCAGCAATATAAAACTCCGTGTGTTACTCTGTTTTTTACCTTTGATGTGGATGAAAGTAAACCATGATTACATGTTGTTTTGCAGCCTCTCCCAGGACACAGACAGTTGCAGCCAGTGAAGTCAGCCATATGTGGAAGGCAAAGAGACAATAGACAACCTGACTGTGCTAATTATATGTACCTTCACTGCCTAATTTAGAAAGCCAGCGGGAAGCACTGAGGCTTTTGTTCCAAGCATGTGCACCGATAGGCTTATTATCTGATCTTAGAGGTTGTTCATGCACCCACTCAGCCATATGTCAGGGAAAGGGGAAAGTGTTCAGAACAGTTTTCCACTGGGTAGGATAGTAAGGTTAAAGTGTAAGGACCCTTGAGTTTGCAGAGAAAATACAAGCAAAATCTTAACCAATAATTCAACAAATATCATGATTATCAAAATTCAGGGTTTTATATACTCACAAATATGTGTATATACATACATATGTACAAGGTTCCGGGATGTCCTGACAAAATGTATCCACAAAAAAAATCTCAGAAGATCTATTCATCTTTGGAAATCTTTTGAATCAGCAATATTAGCCCAACAAGAAATGGTCCACACAGCATAAATCACAGCAGCCTCACACCAAACACTCAAAACTTCAACGGTTGCAACATTTTATCTACTCTGTTTCTACTGAGATAGAGCTTGAATTTTGATTACCTGTGTAACAAAACCCTTATCCTGACTTTCTAGTCAGGAACAACCTTGGTCAATGAGCGACCTAGATATTTGCTAAACCTGTTAAAACATCTAATAGCTGATAAAGTATTTCAGGATGAAAGAATGTTGTGAGCCAACTAAAAAAGGCGATCCTAAATTCAGTGCTGGTATCCTTACATGCTGCTTTTCATATTAAAGTATGGTGGGGTCTGTAGTGGAGGTAAATAGTTTTTTTTTCATTATATCTAATTGTTGTGGTTCACCAGCGATAACTTCACATTTGTCAATTTTCCCAGGAAACCTATAATCCTTTTCCCACTGCGCGTATGCATTTCTTTGTATACGTGCAAATGTTGCCCTGTCAGTTGTCCAATACGGCCGTTTTTCCCACCCGGATTCAAAACAATCCCCCCCCCCCCCCCCCAAGGTTATATATCACAACCTGGTGTTGTGGCACCCACGCCCCCCTCCCATGGTCTTATGGTGTCATCCATAATTGAATCCATCAACAGTTTTCTCTACAACATTCAAACATATGGCAGGGTATCCCTCCCCATCAACACTCCCCCCTCCGCCTCCCATCCCTGCTCATCAAGCTGACTCTCACCACCCCTCTCACTGGCGGCCTCCGCTTCCCCCCCTTCTTGCATTCTGTTCTGTTGGAGCACTCATACCCCCGCCAGCAGACATCCCCTCCCTCTGATTGGGGATTAAATTCTAAATGGACGATGCCGATTGGCTGTGATGCCCTGCACTGTCCCTCCGTTGGAGGGGGAGTAGATATAGGGGCAGTCAGACAGATACATTTGAAAGGTGAGAGACAGCGAGGCTGGTTTGAGGTGTAGACTAACAACAATAGGGACATCCATACCTGCTGCTTTGTGAGGTAAGGTGTGGGCTTTTGTTCTTTCAACTAAGATCATAGAAATCAACCACAAATCTCTTTTTCTAAGTCCAATAATGAGTCATTTTCTCATGTTTGAACTCATTGTAGCTTACCAACACTTTGGTCTGCTCTACATATTTCTTTCAAATATTTCTGCACTGTTTGACACTTATTTTTTTCCCATATGTTTTATTATTCAGAAACAGGCGGAGGTACATCAGCAGGATAAACTATCAGCGATATTCCACATTTTCTAATGTGTGTATATCCTTGCATAGAGGATACATTTGTTTTACACACAGTGAAATAGCATTTCAAAGTTGAAGGAAAATGTGCAATTCAGCACATAGTATGTCAGTGACTCAGGCCTGAACGTTTAGACACAGGTCAGGATGCTGCCTTTGGGTTCTCCATCTGCTTTCAAGTCACATGAGAGATGAGACCAGAGAAGAGGGGAAGGATTTTATTGCTTTTGCATGGGAGCTCAACAACAGCAAATAAAAGAAAACAAAAGGGAAAAAGAAAAAAAGGGAAAAAAGAAAGAAATGGTGGTGGAAACCGTAGAAGAGTGGTCTGTTTTACAGCTGTCACCAGTTGGATCGCCACATACGCTGTCCATATGGGACACTGGTGTGTCATCCAAAACTAGGTCACGTGATCAAGCAATTTAACAAGGTGCACAAAGTGAGACCCACTAAAGAAGACAATTCAGTCTTTTAAGCAACAACAAGAAGCAGAAGCCTTCAACTATGTTTACAATATTATTAAAGGCACCTAGTGTATTCGATCCCTTTGATGGTGTTCTTTCATGTTTAGTCAGATTTATGTTGTTCATTATTGACGAATGCAAAATGGTCCAGACACTCCTGCTGAAATACCTGCCATGTGGGTCAAAGGGGCACTGTTGTGACCCTGGATGGCAAAAGCCGACAGGCAACAACCTTACTGGTGATTGGAAGAGGGGTCAGACATGATGAGATGAATCCAGCACTGCACTGACAAGTTAAATGTTTGAATGACCAAGTGTTAATCATTTTTTGTCTCTAATCTTTATCATTTGTTTTCCCCCTACAGTTGTCTATGAAAGAAGCTGGAGATGGCCTCCACGCTCAGATGAATTCAATGATGGGAGCCCTCCAGGAATTGAAGCTCCTTCAGGTCCAAACGGCACTAGAGAGCCTTGATATTTCAGGGAAGCCCATTAACCGAGGAATCCCCCATCCTGTTGCAACAGCTCCCCTTCAACCATCAACCCCAGAGGCTTCAGCTTCAAGACAGGATCACGAATACTGTTTAGGACAAACCATGCCAGAGGAACCAAGTCCATTGCCAAGTCCCAGGCCATCTATAGACAGCAGAAGCTCCTTCAGTAGAGATGGCCATGGTTCATCTCAAAACAGAAGTACCACAGGAACCTCGTCATCCTCAGCATCCAGCACTGAGACTGAGACTGAGAGTGAGAGTGAAACAAGCAGAAGTGAAAGGAGTGGAAGAAGTAGGGGTGCAAGAAGCGAGAATGACCTGGACTCCATACCCAGGAGGTGGTCTGGATATACTGCTCCACAAGTAGACTTCTATGGACCAATGGTGGGAAACCCTCCTCCAGAACCTTACCAGAAGCCGCAAGCTCCACGTCGTGCTCAGGTAGTTGACCTTCCTGGGATACTGTACAGCCTCTCCAGAGAGGGTCCTTCCTTGGACAGTGTGTACTCTCAGGACAACACTGATGATGCCAGCGACTGGACGTCTTCACTCATGAGCCGCAGCCGCAACCGCCAGCCCCTGGTCCTGGGAGACAATGTATTTGCAGACCTTGTGGGCAACTGGCTGGACCTGCCCGAGGTGGAGCGGGAGGAAGGAGAAGAAGAGGAGAGGAGGAGACGAGAGGACAGGACAGCGGAAGGTGGAGCAGACAGACCTGACACCCCAGCACATCCCCTCCGCCTCAGCCGTTCACAGGAGATCTGCAGGAAGTTCTCGCTCACCACCAACATCTTCAAGAAGTTCCTTCGCAGCGTTCGGCCAGACAGAGACAAGCTGCTCAAGGAGAGGCCCGGCTGGATGGGTCCCGAAGCACCAGAGGGTGACCTCTTTAAAAGGCCAAAGAAAGTGGCTCCTAAAAGTTCAAAGGGCAGCTTTTACCTACCCTTCTGGGCACACGGACCGCATGGAAAAGGCAGGCCATGTCTGCATCTAGCTGAGGAAGACAGGATCCACCAGCATCAGCCCTTCCTCCAGTTTCACCAGCAACCATTCACAGGGATTTATTTAGACAGGAGGCAGCACGAGACTGGCCTACAGAAAATGCAGCCTCTGTTTGACTACAACACAGCTGTGTGGGTCTAATAGTGAATCTCAAGCCAAAAGACTGCCAATGATGCCAGATTGAGTGTGCGACAGGTGCTAGAGGATTTTGGCTGTGATGGAAGGGACTGAATGGATGACTGAATGAGTAGCTTGGGTGCAGTTATATTCCAAGAACACACGTTACACCCACCACTGGTTCCTATTGCGACTGAGAGATTATCAGGGAAACATTTTGTCTGACAATCTGAAAACCTAGACCTCATTTTGCTATGAGTGTGTACTGAGGCATGTCTGAGACTGGGGTTTTTTTCTGAAATTACGATGCAAGTTTTTTAAATATTCAAATTAAATTCCACGTGTGCATGTATGACTGGGTTGTCTGCTTGATTTAAAAGACGGTACATCTTTCTCAGAATTTCACCATCAATGCAGATTTTCTACAGACACATCTAGAAACTTTTTCACTGCTTCGCCACAGCTCATGACTCTCATATATCTCACTTCCTTGCATCTATGAATAGCAGCTCATGTCAACTGACATGGTCACTGTTTTATAATTGCAGCTACAAACACCTGTTACTGAACACACTGCCATCTAACAGTTCTAAGCTCCCTTTTTCCCCTAAAGGCTTGGAATATCAGGTTCAAGTGGACTCAACTCTTTCACTTTGCTCAGGAAATGGAGTGAATAAAATGAAACACTGCCACATTTAAATGGATTCCAAATACAATTTAGTAAAGTCTTGCTTGAACTTCTCAGAAATATATCAACAGCAATATGGTGCATGTCAGGCTTTGAAGATTGCACCTTTAATTTTAAGATATCTCCCTCAATGCAAGCTGTGGGAAACTTGCTTTTTTGTAGAAAGACCCTTCTTTTCTGCAATTTAGATATGGCAAACGTTGAGGTAAGTCCACAATGGTTGTTGTACAGAGAGGGGAGGGGGTAACAATGGCACATTTGAGCATGAGTACTGACTAACTGACGGCCATCTGGAACTGTGGTCATTATGTAAAACATGTTTGAAGCTCAGAGAAGACACAGTTTAATCCAAAACCTTGTGAAAGGACTGGATAATGATGAGGAGGATGATATAACGTAGTGGGTTTACATAGGCGATTACATTACGGATATGTTTAATTAAATGAAAGCGGAGGAAATTACCAACCAAGATGAAGTTAATACAGTAAATGTACAGAGCTTTGTACAGATTTGTCACCAACCAAACAGCAGCAATAAGAAGTATTTGTTGTAATATCACACTGCATGATTTTCATTATTCTGTGTTCAGATAAATATCTCAAAATGATGCTAAACTTACTGAATATTACATGTAAACAGTACCCCAACACTTTTTTTCCTTGTATCCTATGAAGTCGTTTCAGTGTTTTTCATTTCCAGCAGATCAGTTACAGTTGAATTCAAACGATGGCTTCTTTCATACTCTCCCTCACGATTACAAATCCCACTGCCCGCTCACTTCAAACACTTTAAACAATTAATGGAGGACCACTGTTATGCAAGGACAATCTGATACCAGACCAGCCAACACAGCCAGCCCGGCTTAGGCCTCAGAGGTCTTTTGAGTTTCTTGGCCAGCTTATCCATATGGCGTTGTCTAAGTAATCAGGTCAATACATTCAACACATCAAGAGGGTCCAACACACACACAGATTCTGCTGACACAGATTCTGCTGACATAAGGCGCAGTCTGAGATGTAATAATATATGTTGATAAATGTAACATTTATTTCCTCCTATTAAAGCTGTCTTAAGTGTAATTTTCTGGACTGTTGTTGATATTTTTAGTCAGGGTTCTGTGAGCCTTCAGTAGTGCTGATGTGTCATGTGCACTGTAAAACTGTCACTGACTCTTTGTATATTAAATCTGTTTGCAGAAAGTAATATGACTGTGTCTGGACTTCTGTTTTGCGTACACGAAGCACATTTACTTTTTGCATGTTTATTTATTGTGTCAGTCTGAGTGAAACCGTTCTTTGTAGACATGGTAGCCTGAATGAAAAAGCGTGAAAGTGGAGCTCTGGAAGCTATACCGTTGAGAGGGGGTTTTAATTTGAGTTCATAGGTTTTCTGTGAGATGAGAAAGGACTCTAATCAATGTTATTAATTAACAATTACAAAGATTGTTACATATGATAACAATACAACAGCATTACAAAAGTTTTTTATTTATTTAGTAGAGATACTACATTTTATACAATGTGACAGTGATATACATCAGTTGAAATGGTTGCAGAAGATTTTACGATCAGGTTTTGTTTAGATTTAGAAACGTTGATCAAGTTTGTTAATTAGAGACAGTTCCAGAAATTAGATGAAGTTCTGTGTGAGGATTGCAACGTGGAACTCATGATGGAAATTTTCAACTACGAGGCAAAGATAAATGAAAATTTATATGTACCTGTAAATCTGTACGTAAAATGTAATTCTACATTTTTTTAGAGACACAAAAAAAAATCAAGTGAAATTTGCCAAGAAAGAAAAGGGGAATACAAAGCATTGACATGTTGCTTTTTTCTGCAATGGTTAGCCTGGTTTGTTTGTGCTCTGCTCTGCATCTCCACTGCAGTAAAACGCTGCTGCATGACTAACAGGTTCACCGAGGGTAAAAGCTAATATGTCACAGACTGAGCGTCGACTGCACATTAAACAGCATCTAAATATGTACCTCAACTCCATCATTGAAGAAAAGTTGCTTGAACTCTGCAGCCATGCAGTTCATCACAAGGACAGTTTTTATGAGCTACACTTCAAACCACATCAGTCAGTTCATCTTGCTGTCCCTGAGCGGTTTGTCCAAGACAAGTTATTACTGCCGCAAAGGTCCCAGTTTTTATACAAAACATCTGCAGCTCATGGGTTCAAATAACTGTAATATAATGATGGCTGGACCATTTGTTTATCTAATCAATTCAAGAAAAGTTAGTTGTAATAATAACAATAATAACAATGATAATATTTCCATTGAGTGACTGTAAGAAACCCTTTTAGTCATTTTAAGAAAAATAAAGAAATGAATTATGGGAAAGTTATTCAACTACACCAGTGATTGTCTTACCACATCAGTTTTTATGAATATGTTTTAATATGCCATACAAATCGTAAACAGTTTTATACTGCCTGTGCAAAGACCTTTGGGTAAGATAAAGGAACAAACCATGAGAAGATTGTTATTATTTTTCTGTGATTGCACAGCATATCACAGCTGGCTCTTGAAATTGATACCTTTTTATCTTACATCTACAGAATGCTGCATTAGTAGATCATAGGGAATCATAATCACACAAAAATGTCTTGTATTACATTCAACAATCTTGTCTGTTGTCGTATCTGTGTATATGTACAAATAAATTGGATAATTGAGGGGTATTTTTATGTGAATAAGAGGTTCTAGGTCCAAATCTCCCCCTGAAAGTCAGACGGACCTGAAAATTGTAAAAAAAATAAAAAAAATAATTAAGATTTCATGAGTCAGTGCACAAGAATCGTTTTTACTGTTGCATGTCAAATCTAAAAAACTGTCAAATATAACATTTTCCAAACCTCTTGATGAATTCTAGATCCCCTGTGGCCACGAGTATGTTCTAATAAATAGAATCCAACCATTCACACTATTTCTAGGAATATCTAACGGCTTTACTTGACCTCACAAACAGGTCGGTAAACATGTTTGATTTTAAAAAAGGCACTGAGTTCATGTGAAATAGGATAAGAATAATCCCTGTGTGTTTCTGTGCATGTGTCTGTGTTCATGCTACAACAGCTGCAAACTCAGTCCCTTCTCTTGTGGCTCAGTTTCCCCAGGGATCCCAACAGTGGACGCTGACTGTCTGACCACATTCCCCTCCTGCTCCCCCCTCCTTGCTCCTCTCTTTGGTCCCATACAGTCAGCTGTCACGCTCTCACAGCCTCACAAGACTACTCCACGCCCCAAATCTGGGGCACGCAACGCATGAATGCAGCAGAGTGGCTGGATTTTACAAGTCAGAGTCAGCAAAGCTTAGAAACGCATAAGGAACGGAATAATGGCACAACTCGGCAGTCAACTGGGACTCAAAGACTTTCATAACTGTGGAGAGATTACTTGCAAGTACATGTAGAAAGCATGCATTAACTTTGTTTGCATGTCACCCCTCTGGATCTTACTGTAGGATAATTTCCTGCTCAGCGCTCATCTTTCAATAAGCCCTCAGCTGTGCAGCCACACTGCGCTACCTTGGCCTTCAGGAATGTGCTCACGTTTCACTTTTTATAATAGTCAGCAAGTAAAAGTCCAGAATCGTCACTCAGTGCAGCTTTCTGCAAGTTCCCACAAGAAACATGAGACCACTTCTTAAGCATACTCACACATGCTAAAGCTAGCGAAATGTCGGGCCATTCCCAGTAGCACAGAAACACCCCCACCTTTGGAAATTAAAGACTACATCTTTAAGCCACAAAGCAGAGACAGATTTGTCAGGGAGATAAATGCAAGAGTTAAGTCCAGTGCAAATTATTTAGGATTTATCATCAGTCTGCTCTGCGGCCTAACAGTCATCATTCAGCAGGCCGTAAGTCTCACACTTTTATTTCGCAAATGTGTTAAAAGGGAGAAATGCGCACACAAAATTATGTTGCACCGCAAAAAAAAACATTCCAAGTACTCTTAAATTTCATGTGCTTATGAATATACAGTATTAACACCTTTCTTTTCTGCACATACAGTTTTTTATGGTTGGCCTCTGTAAAAAGTTATTTATATGAATGCACAATAAGAGGTCAAGTTTTGACGAGAAGGGGAGAAAAATGTTTCTCATAATTGTGTCTAAGGTGGTAATGATGCTTTAATAATTGTAAACATGTCAATGCAGGGCTGACAATACTTTCATTGCTCATTATTAATCAGAAGTCTGCAAAATCCAACAGAAATCACAGCAACCAGCCGCAATATTATCTGGAACTCTTTTGGTGTTTGATAGACCGCTTTCTAATTATCCCCAATGGTGAAGAAAAAAAGCCTCTGAACTTGGACAACTGATCCCAGCAGTGATGAATATTTCAAACTGACAGAGCAAAGCATTCATTTTTCGGGAGGTCAGACTGCAGCAGGAAACTCCTTGCAGACCACTTCTCTCTGAAGCCGTGATTGATGCCTTCAGGTGCTCTGACAGGTGAACCCAGCAGAGAGGAATGTTTTTCATGCTACGATCTCTTCTGTGCAGACAGTCTTTTTTGAAAATGAAGATTTCAAGTGCACTTGCACAAATGCAGTCTGTTGCTGATCTATGACTGGCAGAGGGGTCATCGGACAGTTGTTTTAGGGGTTTTAGCTCTCTGACTCCTGCTGTGCACATGCTGTGTAGATGTTATCTACATGGGAGGTGAAATCAGAAACACTGGTAGTTTGATCCTCCAGCTGAACGAACAGCTGGGATTAAGAGTGTTCCAGACATGAAGAATTAACAGGGGGCAAACAAATCTCAGAAGAATACTTTTAACAGTGAGTGTCATTAGTTGGGGCTTTTTAAAGAAAGAGGATATAGCCTGAAGACATCCCCGTTAAAAACTTTATACTTCTATTTAAAAACAGAAATATTTGGGCAGCTGCCCTATTGGTAGAGTGCTATTAAGTAAATTGCTTGATTCCGTGTAATTTCAGTTCAAAGAAATCTAAATCAAAAGAGTACTTGTCCACAGGAAATTTGTGTAACTGTGTCAACTGATGAGATCTTAAGCTGTTTTGATAAGTCACATCTTAAAGCCGGAATTTGCTTGTATACCAAAGGTTGCTTAGCACTTTATCACTAAGCCAAGAAATCGTCAAGATAACTGAATGTTGATAATGAAGCCTGTGGAAACGTACATATCCAGTCAGGTTTACCGTCACATTATCGCTAATTGAAGAAAATGTTTTTGGTCAGAGTAAAAATGAGTCAAGGGAAAACCAAAAAATGCTTTAAACATTCTTTAAACACAGCCTAGGGATTACAATTTGTGTCAAGATACATCATGATATCAGAAAGCCAGAGGTGACGCTTGTATAAATTCATGAAATTCTCCAAATCTCTCTATCTTTTTCTACTTTTTACTCTTTTGAAGATAGTGTTGCCATGAGAGCATTGCATCAATATGACATCTTCAAGTCTGCAAATATTCATCATGACAACTGATTGATTGTGTTGTCAGTAAGTTAATGAGCCAACACTAAAAACATTGTCTTCAGTAATAGAACATAGAGTAATCTGTGTGGACGGATTCATCAGTAAGAGGAAAAAAATCAATTATTAATATACTTTTTCAAAGGGCCTCATCTTTTGCAATCCATCAGTTCTTTCCAGCTTTGTCTTGTTTTGGGGAGAGTCTATTCCCGCTGCCATTAGGGCATCTTCTGTGATAATAAACAGAAAATGAGATTTTATAGATCAAAGAAGCCATCTGAAAATAAATGTAAATGCTGCCCTGATGGAAATACTCTGACATCATGTTTTCCACAACAACGGTGAAGAAAAGAGACAGCAACTAATCAATTTGTCTGTTCTATTCCTGTCGACATGAAGGCTCCCGCCTCCCACACTGACAGCATCACAACAATTCATAAAGTGCTGCTCCCAGCTATGATTTAGATCATCTCCTCACATCAGTTTCAAATTGGAGCATGTGCAGAGCTGCTGCATGGAGTGGGCTTTCCCCTCAAGAGCAGCAAATCCCTCATCGTCATTAAACAGGAGCTGGTTTTCACCTGCCGGTAACGGCAGTCGCCCACGGTCAAAATGAAGGACTCCTCCATCACCCGCATGACCGACACACACTCGGATGAGGGTGACCCCTGCTGATGGCTCAGCAGCAACCCTTTAAACTCCACCACCCCCCTTGAGAACAGAAGCATTCATTTTGACG